AATCTGACGTGACATGTTCGTACGAACCCTTTGTACGAACAAAAGTAAGAGAAATTTAGGATAAGAATACGAACATGTTCTTGCATGAGGCCCATTGAGACATTGGACTCTTACAAGTACCTGGGTGTTCACCTCAACACCAAGCTGGACTGGACTACAAACACAGACCTCCTGAATAAGAAGGACCAGAGTCGACTCCACCTACTGAGAAGGCTGAGGTCCTTCAATGTCTGCAGGACTCTGTTAAAGACATTCTACCACACGGTGGTAGCATCTGCCCTTTCCTATGGAGTGGTCTGCTGGGGGGCTGGATGTACTGAAAGGAACAGGATCGACAAACTGGTACGGAGGTCAAGCTCTGTGCTGGGATGTCCTCTGGAGCCTGTGGTAGTGGTGGGTGAAAAGAGGATGTTAGCAAAGCTGACGGCCACCATGGACAACCCCCACCACCCTCTGCATGAAACCGTGGGTGGGCTGAGCAGCTCCTTCAGTCAGAGACTTAAGCCAGGTTCCCACCAAATGCATTTTGAGCAGCCAAAGCAGCCAGTTTATATGCAAAGTCAATGGTGGACACGCATCTAGGAGCAGTGCATCACGTTGCGGTGCGTTTTGCCAGTTTAGAGCAGTGCGCAAGGTAGCGGTAGGATGCGGCAGAGCGTTTTCCGTGCATGTGGCGCGTCCAAAGCAGCGGTTGCTCAAGTTCAACAAACTGAACTTTGGCTGTTTGACACGCAGCAGCAACCAATCAGAGAGAATAATTTTTCCACGTGACGGTTTCCTGAACCTGACACAGACGGACAGGCGCTCTTTAGCTGAAATCGACCGTCTGCAGTTGGTGTTCTGTCTGGAGATATCAGCACCGATGTGAGTCAGCAGCTCGCTGAGCTCGGGACAAAAAAAGTCCGTCAGCTCGCAGCTCCTGGAGTGGCGAAACTAACCGAACAAACCACCTCTAATTTAGCTGGTGAATTAATTATCTGGTGTGCGCAACGTTCGCTTGATCTTTAGTAAATAAAGCAAAGCCATTTTATTTATTTAGTCTTTATTTCACTCGTCAGTAAAGACAGACCGGAAAAATCCAAGACGCTCATCCCTCTTCAGACGCGCGCCTCTAGTCTGTGTCCCGGTCTGAACATAGTGCATCCAACTGGAGGCGTTGGGAGCATTTTTGCTGCTCAAAACGCATTTGGTGGGAACCCGGCTTTAAACATTCCCCGCTGCAGGACGAAGCACTTCCATAGGTAATTCATTCCAACTGCAGTTAGACTATATAACACATCATGATGTTATCAATCACTTGGACAATTCACCTACACTGCATCACTAATATGCACCTTCATATATATATATATATTTATTTACTATATGTACATTGTTATATATATATCACGAGTGTAGTGTTTTTTTTTTTCATTTGCTTATCTTCCTTTATTCTATCTCACCCCCTCCTGTATTGAGCTGTAGTAATGTACAAATTTCCCCACTGTGGGATAAATAGTCTTATCTTATAAGGTCAATGTNCTCCTGTATTGAGCTGTAGTAATGTACAAATTTCCCCACTGTGGGATAAATAGTCTTATCTTATAAGGTCAATGTACTTTTTTTTTATTTTTATATAAGAAATTATTATTTTCAGCTGTAACCACATAAATCGGTACATATAAATATAAAGATTTAACAGTTATTTTAGATAATTGAACAGTTACAGAAAAAAAAATCATAAGTTTGAGAATATTTGCTTCAGTTCATTTGACACGTTTATACATTCACAATGAAGACATCTGTTGATTACAGCTGTTCATGAAGCCCAGAGTAGATCGCTGTGGTACACCACTTCATAACTTCTTGTTTGCATTAATAATATTATTCTAAACTTGACATGTAATAGTTTGTAAAGAAAGTTGACACTCGGTGTGGAAGAGAGAAAATGACAGTGTTTGTGCTCAGGTGTGGAGAACAGCTGGAGTTTAGAAAACCTCGACTCCAGAAAACCTTCAGAGACAGACATTTGTATCGGGAACGAGGTAACCCAGAGGCACCACACGGCAGAGTGGGACTCCGACACATCCTCCAGGTTCAAGGATATATTTATCTGTTATCAGTTCATGTAGCTGTTTTTATTGAACAAAACAGTCTTTAAGATAATCTTCAAGCCGTTCCTGTTAGTATCTGTCCTCCCAGGCACTGATATGATTATCACCTTTCCGCTGTTGTTGAGGAGAAACTAATTAAAGAGTGACCTTGAGTCAAACTGGTCTTTTTATCAGAAAAAAAGCATTTTATGCTGCAGAATCAGGCTCTGCAGGTTTATAACTCGACAGAGGACCTTTGTTGTTGTAGGGTCTCGACTCCAGTGGACGTGGTCAGACCTCCGGTCGTAGTTATGGAGGACCTCGTAAACCTCCGGATCTGCATCCTAAGGGACTGGGACATCAAGGTTCTTTCAAAATCTGGTAAGTCTGATTCAAGTGAAGGGAACTTCTTCTAGGGCAGGGGTTCTTAACCTTTTTGACCTCGGATCCCAATTTGTTGAACATAAAGAGGCATGAGGCCAAGTCAGACATTACCAATGTATGGATCAAAATGATAATTATTCTAAATCTTGGTTTAATTTGTATTTCATTTGCATTATAACTAAATTAAATACATTTAAATTATAAAAGTAAAACTCCTGTCAAATAAAAAACATTTTTTTATATCGTAACCTGCCCATAAAAATTATTTGAACAAATACAATGGTCAGTCAACAGACCACTCAGGCTTATCAACAAAAAACTAACTTTTTTAAAAACATAAACAATAACAAAAATGTGACCCATCACATCGAAGTGAGGATTAAGTCTAAAAGCGGTTTATGGAGAAATAGGCAAATGTAGAGTTTTGATTAAAACATTTGCAAAAAGTGAATTTTGTCAAAACATAATGAATTAATGCCTTATCAATGTATCATTTGAATGAACTGTCTGAAATATAATCATAAAATAAATTTTTGAAGCATCTTTTGAGAAGTAGCAACAAAAACACTGATTTTGAGCAAAAATGCTTTAAAATTTTGAGATTTTCCCTGTGAGCTAGAAATGTTTTGTTTTATTCCAGCTGGGAAATTTCAATATTCAAATTATTTTTTGTTTCTTCTTTATAAGGATATCAAAAGTTCATCAATAAAATTACGTAAAATTAGGATTCAGACCAAGTATTATTTGATTATTGTAACCAACAAGACAAATTAAGGCATATCTCTGGATTCAATTGTCAAAATCAGGCAGGAACAGACCCAGGGTGCAGGCTCCAAAAGTAGAACAAAAAAAAGGTTTATTTAAGTAACAAAAAAACTGCTGTAGAGACAGCTCAAACTTACAGCGAGGTACGAGGATCACACAGGCAGGGGGAACAGAACACAATGAACCGACAAAAGACTGAGACGAGACAGGACTTAAATATACTGACAACTAATTGATGAACTGAAAACACCTGGTGAGAAACATGAGGGTGACAATCAGACTCATGGGGAGCAGCTGG